GGGAGAGAGAGAGAGAGCAATCAGTATGCCATAACATAAGACATTATCATGATATGTGTTAGGTCCGAGCAACCTCAGCTAATGGTTTTGATTGAATCTTTCAAAGAAACACTATTGATAATAATGATTTTTTTGGATATGGATGAAGAATTGGTAACTATTTTGATAAATGAAAAAAAAAAGGGAAAATCGGTAGTAAGCGGTATATGGGATTCCAGGACATTGATTACTACATCTTGTTGATCTCTTACCAAACTTTTGAACTTATATAATTAATTGGCTGTAAACATCGTTTATTAGATCGTAATAATCTACATGTGAAACGGGAATGATTATATTTTTAATAGTTTAATAGGCGAAAAAAAAAATCTCGAAAAAATTACCACTTTCATTTCACTTATCCGGATTAGCAGTAATTTTAGGCCCTTATTTTAAATAATTATTTGTGCGCTCTTTGAGATTTGACAAACGTGGCCAAACATCAAGATGCATATATCACTGGTTACGTTATAGAATGCGAAATACCCTCCTAGGATTGAATATAGTTGCTCATCCTGGCTAACTTATTTTGCGATCTTTAAATAATACGAATCAAAACTTTTGCAGTTTCTGCTATCAAATAATAGATACGATATAAGTGTATCACATATGATACATTTATATATGAAATATTCATAAATCGTAAAATGTCAAAGTTGGAAGAGCTTAACTGATCAGTAATTGATAAATATCACCCAAAAGTGGTTCTTTTTTAGTGAAAAGCAAAACATTAATTAACATTACCTATACTTACCTTTAATTTTTCATCCTTTATCACAGCTAGTGTTATCGTTCCCCCTTCCACTTTCCACCAATTAAATCATTTATCCTCTTCAAATTTTTACTTATTTTTCGCTTATTCAATAATGCAAGTAAATATTTTTCTGTACTATTGTGATCCATCGAACCATACCAGTTTCATTTTCTTCCCCAATAATTTTCAATTTCAGTTCTTTCCTTTCACGCTATCGACTAACTTATTTACAAAGGAAATAATCTAACGGAGCAAGTTGGAATTTCAATTTTTTAAAATGTCCATAAGGCTCCCACGTTGAAGTAAATGGAGAAAAGGATGATAAACTTTATTTGCAATCGCTTTAACTGCTATTGTCATCGTCACACTATCGATAGAATTATCAACACTTTTATTTAATCACAAATTGATGTGTACTCTTTATAAAGCAGATAGTTTTCGTTTGTCAAACCAGAAGGAGAGCTAATGGGTAGCTTTATCATTAAATTTATTTAGCATGAAAAACAACTCCATAGGTAAGGAAGAATGCAATATGACAAAAAACAAACTTTATTTGCGATCAGATTAACTTAATATGAACGCATATTCTCCAAACAGTTACTTACCAGTTGCTTTTTCTCTATAGCACGGAAATTTAAATCTTGTGAAAAAAAAGAAAAACAAGTGACTATTTTTTAAAAAGCCATGAAATCGCTTCATTAATCAATTTTACCCATTGCTGTCACATTTATCTTATTCAGCTTTCTTCTACCAGTTCTGCTGGAATTTAGAATTACTTTATCTTGTCCCTATTGGAAGAGAAAAAGCTGGATCATTTGGACTAGAACATTTTGCCGCAAATCTTTAAAGATGTACAATTTTAGAGTAAAGGTCAAAATAGTACCAATCCGAACTTCCCCATAATTTTAATAGACTATCAAAATTGATACTTTACGTGATTCTCTTCTGATAAGAGTTTTGCCATATTGATGGAAGACTAAAGTTCTCTTTCTTTGCTTCTTCATTCTTTCATATCACCTCTTCAGATAATGAACTGAATAGACTATACTGAAATCACGTTAAGTTTTATAAAATATGGAATGTATATGTCAAATGACAGGTGCAATAGTGTCTACATCATCAATGATAATTATCGCACTATTAGATAGTAAGAACGTATACGGGGTTTTTTTTTTTTTTTTTTTCTCAGTAATATTCATTTATCAATTAATTGACTGCATTCCTTTCAAAGGAATATTTGTGTTGGATCGAAATCACCGATATAATCGAAATCAGTATCCGGCTGGGATCGTTTCTGTGTCAGTAGCATTGTTCCAGGCAGGTAACGGTTCTGTAAATATAAATTAAAGGAAATTTTTGACCGTAATAACTTTGGCCATAATTTTTGACTGCATTAAGGAAATTTTTGACTGTAATAAGCTGTGAAAACTTGTATATTCAAGCTATAGATTTTAAAATTAAATCTTGGTTAATTATTTTCTTGGATTCAACTCTGGTATCAATTCTTTCCAGATTGTGCTCTGGACTCTTGTCGAGATGCTTCATAAAAGCCATAGATTAT